AAACTCACAAGCAAGCTGCAGGTACTACAGAGGTTTTTCACCATGTAGCTGTCTAGTTTGGTGGACTCCCACTTAACTGCCTGAGTGCTGACTTAGGCAAGAGGGCAGAGAAAAACAAGGGTTTCCTTAGGATGCTTGAGCTTAATGGGTACATAGTACCTTACATGGTAGGTGGGTACCTTACATTAGGTACCATCTAAGTTCTCTGAAGAAATTTAACATGCACTGTGTTTTACTGGATCTCTTACTTGCATCTAGCCAAGGCTGAAAGGTTTGTACCACACCAAATTAGGAAGGGGCAGTAAGGGGAGTGATTCTAGGCTCCAGGCCTGCATCCTGGCAAGTCACCTTGTATCAGATGAGGCTTATTTGCAAGTAGGGGTAGTATTTGAACCCAGGTTTAGGAAATAAGGTTCCACATCAGGACTTAACAAATGTCAGTTTTTGAAAGGCTTGTTCCTATAGAAATAGGCAATAAAACTCATAGCAATTAAGTGATTGTTGAAATGTCTTAAAATCATTATTAAATCTCAGTCACTAATAAATGTTAGCTATTTTTATAAATTATTTTACAGTTTTCTCACTGTATTTTTATTGTCCAAGTGCACTTTAAGTGATTGTTCATAGGGCCTTTACATGAAAGCTCACTTTTGCCTTCCTGCAAGACTTTGGAGTGGCAAATCAGGTCAACTGGAGAAAGAGTTCTTGCTTTTGTTAATAAATGTTCATGTTATTTGTTTAACTGATAAGAATAATGAGTCTGGGGGGATAAGCTGTGTGATACACTGCAAACACAACCATCCCTTAGCAAACTGAAATACCAGAGTGAACCTTTAAACTTAGAAATACTTTTGAAGGAGCACTTGCCTAGCATATAATGTGTGGGCCAGTAATTAAACCTGTTGAAGCTAACTTGCTTTTCCATAGCTAAAGAAAAAATCCTAGTGGGCAACTGCATCTGTGCCAAAGTCCATTCATAAAAGCTCATAACAATTGCTAATGAAGTTACGAAACCGCTTCTAATTTTACTTCCTGATCTTGACCTTTTGCCATGACAAAGTGAAATGAAAAATATTTGGATTAACTGCTGGTCTCGCAGGAATAACTAACTACTTGCATAAATTGAAAGCTAAGGATATTTCATTCATATCCTTCATGCCAGAATCAGAAGTTATTTTCAACATGACAAACTTGGAACACTTAGTTGCACAGCGGGGGTCTATCTCTGTAACCTCCTGCCATTGCTTATCTGTTTTTGGCCCTGAGGATTCAGAGTAGCGTATTTCTATATCCTTTTGCATTCCTGTGATTACTCATTTCTATTTCCTGTAATTCCATTTTAATGTTTCCTGAGGCATATTCCTTGCAGAAATACTACCCAGCATTTGTCCTTACTGGTGTCTTCAGCTGTGGATATGGCATTATCTGCTCAAGAGACTTCACGTCTTTCACCTTTCCCACCATATAAATGTCTCCCTTTGAAGGACCCCACTGAGTAAAACTCTGAATCTGTTTTGCAGAGTGCACAGTCCTTTATCTTCCAGTCTTAACATTGATAGGAATACTTGGAGTTTTTACTTTTGTTTGGTTACTTGATATCCCAGAGCTAGGCAGTTGAACAAAAGCTGGTAGAGCCATTTCACAGCTGGCCCAGCTGGCCCAGCACAACCCTGTCAGGCAGGCTAGTGTTTGTTCTCTAACTCAAATGCCCTGTACCAATTCGTTGCACTTCTTATGGCTCTCTGGTGTCTTTCAGCAACTTACTGTAATTCTCTGCTTCCTTTCCTTTTTTCTGTAGAAGTGCCCTTGTGTGAAGTCTTAGTCCATGCCTGCTGTTGATCTGTAAATAGCTTTCTGACCTTTAAATTTCTCTGTCTGTACTGCCTCTTTCCATGCTTTTTTACCATATCTGGTAACTGCTTGTCCTGACTACTGTTTAGCTGTCATATTTCTTTAAAAATAAACACCCACACTTTCTTCCTAGAATAAAGTCTGTTTTCTAGTTGCTCTTCCTGCTTTTACTTGAATTCGTGTGTTGTTTTTTTTCCCTCAACTTGGGGCAAAAAACCCAGTATTATTAAGGCAATGTGAATAATACACTGGCTGTTTCATTCAGCTCGTACACTGCAGCAGGTAGCAAAAGTAGTAGAGTCAGTCAAAGCACATTCAGCATAGATGTGTTTCTAAGGTTGTCCTTTCCAGAGCAAGCCATCTTTTACAAGAGAGTCATAGCTAATGTTTAATGTTGTAGTTTTCAGAGTAGTCTGTTCTTAGCAGAATAATGCAGGCTGTGAATTTTCAGTGCCAGGTTGTGGGTGTGCTCATTAATGCAATTCTGTGTGTGTATGTGTGTGTATTTGTATGCAGCTGTGTGCCAGATGCCTTGCTTAAATGGTGGGAAGTGCATACGACCAAATCGGTGCTACTGTCCCCCATCATGGACTGGACATGACTGCTCTAGGTAAGTGTTGCTCTCCCATAGCTAGGCAGAATCTCGCCCTACTGAATTCTAAATCTGAAGAACGTGCAAATAATTTTGCACATGTTGAGCACTGATAGATCCTGTACCTCAGTGGTGATGGGATGGCTCATCATTTATGGGCAATCTGGAAGGACCTGAGAGAGTACTCTGCCAAATGACTGCCAAACTTACAGAAAACTCAGTAAATGGTACAATTACATGTAAGCCAACAGGCAAAACCTGGAAAGTTTAGCCTTAATTTAATGGTGTAAATGGAAATGTTTGTTATTAGATAATACAGAATATTTTTCAGGAAATGTAAGTTGCCTACTATGTACAACAACTGTGCCTACTGTGTGGTCATTTTGAACTGTATATACATCATCTGGCTGCAGGTTCAGGACTAGGGTCATAATGTTATAAGCTGTTGAAAGCAATAATTCTTACTGTACCTACTGATGAGTGGTGTAATCATTTAAAGAGTGCAACACAGTGCCTCTGAGTCAAGTCCTAGTTCAGTGCAGTCCCTGTATCAACAGCCTCAAGAACTGGGCTTAGATCTGGTTCATGTATCCTCTCTTTTAGGGAACATTATCAATGCTTGTGTTTTGGTTTCCTGATTCATGTCTAATTCGGCCAACAGTGGACTGGGTTTTCAGATCAGACAACAGCCTCACCCTGTGGGGCAGCATCCACAAGTCTTAACTGTAGCTTTGTTTTTAAAGGTAAATTGCAAAGTCTGGGTGTTCAGCATCAAGGGCAGTCTGCACAGGACTCACTTTTTCTTTGGAAATCTGTTTTATTTCATGCTGCCATTAAGAACCATTTACAACCCTGAAGAGCAGGTGGCATGGTAATGGTGTTGTTGTGGTCAGGAATCAGATACAATAACAAAACATGCAGCATGAGTTCTCCTGCTCCCTGCATGGAATATTAATGAGGGCCATGAAACACCTGCTAAAAAAAGTAT